TCCCGTCCTGACCTGCGCCTCTCTCTGCGACGACGCTATCCCAAAGGTGCGCTCCGGTCCTCGTCTGCCCGTTACGTCTCCAGGCCCCACGCACTCTCTATCCGCTACCAGCTCATCCCTTCACCACCCAAACCTTGAACAAGCTCCCTCCCCTATTCCCCCGACCCAGACTTCATTTACCTGCCAGCCCTACCCGCCTGCTCTTCGCTGCGCAGCTTCTTGCGCCTCAACCTGTTGCCGACGTGCCCGATTTTCCTAATAATTTCCAAACTGACACCACCTCTTTTGGTTTCGCAGGAATCACCAAGCCGTAGTCCAGGCCCTCCAACTGCCGCGGCTTTGCCTTCTTTATACTCCGAATTCGACGTCCCCAACGGCTTTTTTTAAGCAACCACGTCGCATTCGTTTCGGCCCCCAACACGTCCTTCTTTAACGTCGCCGTCACTACAGCTTCCGTCTTTGCCAAGAGGAATTCGACTTCCCAATGACTTCATAGTCGTCAATTCATTCAACAAGAAAACTCGCTCTTTACAATACCACCTTCGCCATGCTTACCCCCAAGAGAGCCGTCGCCGCGGCCGCCTTCTTCCTAATCGTCTTCTACTTAATATCCTCCTCCCACGACACAACAACCACCTCCACGAAAGCTCCCGTCGCCGCCTCGAATCATGATACGACAGACTCCTCAAAGACGTCACATGCCTCCTCGATCGACAGCATGGAGCCCTCCTTCCCGAAGAAGGTAACTGGACAAAAGCCCATGATGGACATGTCCAAGATGTCGCTCGCCGACAAGCTGGCGTACCAATACCCCTATGACGTCGAGACGCGTTTCCCTGCCTACATCTGGCAGACTTGGAAGTGGACGCCTGCCGAGGAGGAGTTCAGCTTCCGCGAACAGGAGGCATCTTGGTCCGAGCAGCATCCCGGCTTCGTCCACGAGGTTATCACGGACAAGGTTGCTGTCAACCTGCTCCGTCTGCTCTACGCCTCTGTTCCCGAAGTCCTCGCCGCGTATGACGCTCTCCCTCTCCCCGTCCTCAAGGCCGACTTCTTCCGATACCTGATCCTGCTTGCGCGCGGCGGTATCTATTCCGACATTGATACCTATGCTATCCGGTCTGCTCTCGAGTGGGTTCCCGAGCGCATCCCCCGGGAGAGCATTGGTCTGGTCATCGGCATCGAGGCCGACCCTGACCGCCCCGACTGGAAGGACTGGTACAGCCGTCGCATTCAGTTCTGCCAGTGGACCATCCAGTCTAAGCCTGGCCACCCTGTAATGCGCGAGATCGTCACCCGCATCACGCAGGAGACCCTGAAGCGCAAGAGAGCCGGCCTGCTTGATAACATTATCGACAAGAACGTTGTCGAGTTTACGGGTCCGGCCGTCTGGACGGATACCATCTTCGACTACTTCAACGACCCGCGCTTCTTCGACCTGAAGAACTCCAAGGGCCCTATCGACTGGAGGAATTTCACGGGCATGGAAACTTCCAAGAAGGTCGGCGACGTGGTGGTCCTTCCCATCACCAGCTTCAGCCCTGGTGTGCAGCAAATGGGTGCCAAGGATTATGATGATCCTATGGCATTTGTCAAGCACGACTTTGAGGGTAAGATACAGTTGAATGAGGACTCCAGAATTCCAGCTAACGAGGATGTAGGCACATGGAAGCCCGAGGAGCTCCGCCATATTGGCGAGCAGAACGAGGAGAAGGCCTCCTCCTCATAAACCCCATGACAGCAACGACTTTTCTTTCGGCATATGTCTTTTAATAATTGCATCTCAAGCGGCGTCCTAAAGGCCATGTTTTCGGTGCGGACGGGGTTTCACGTGTTTTGATTTTTGAATTGGCTTTGTACGGCACCGGTGGAAGGAACTACGAGCGAACAGCATATTCTGCAAAACAGGAAAAGCATAGAGATTTCGGCATAGAGGTCCATTTCCAGTTACCATCAGATCTCAAGAGGAGGACGGCCTTCACAAGGAGGGCCGAGAGACTGCAGTCATTAGCATCGCGGTACATATACCCCAGACAGTTACAGTCAGAAATGAAGCGGTAAAAAGTTTAAGTCCCTCGATGCAAGTTATTTACATGGCTCGTGAAATGTCTTGGAAACTTAGGGGACCCAAGCCACTGCATTGGCCTGTCTATTCTTTGACGCACCTGCAATCACCCGCAGCGGAAGCTTGGCCGACTTGGCCAACAACGTGACAGCAATGAAGCGAGCTGGGCATTCGCAGGCGGCTCCTTCGGGCCCCCGGCCGAGGTTCACGTCACCGTGGACCTGCAATGGAGTTGTTCCCTGTCGCTTGTGTTGCGGCGGCGTGCAACCCCGCACATTTCCCCCCTTTTTCTCCGCATTTTGGGATCGGGAAGCTTGGAGCTCTCAGCTCTCTTCCCCTCTGCCAAGACTGGACCTTAGGTTGGGTAAGGTAGGTTGACCCCCCCGGCCGCCGGCCAGACGCGGTCCGGTGGGAGTGCGCAACACCGCATACCAGACAGCTGCCAGAGCCGAGAAGCGACCAGCCTCCCCTCACTTGTTGTTTTAGCCTTGGCTGCCGGTTATTGCGTACCCGCCAGAACGGATACTCTCAAGCAACGACGGCTCTCTTTCTCACTCTCATATGAGAGCTGTGCGAAGATCGACGGTCCGCCCGTTCGTCAGCTTTTTTCTTGTTAATGTCTTTCTTCTGTGAATCTTTGAAGATCTGAAGCGAGGACTACTGAGAGTTTCCTTTCAACGTCCGCGACCAGTGCAAGATGAGGATACCAGTGACTGGGGTCTGCCGCCTTGCGAGGTCCTCGAGCCTCGTGAGGTGGACGAGCTCGAGGGTCGCGGGTAGAGGGCTGCTTTCTGCTAGGGCTTATAGCTCCAAGCCGTTGAGCTTCAGCCAAGGTCCAGAGGATGTACGTTGCCTTCAACTCTGCTCCTGTACATGAGAGAGACCTCACCCTCACCTCAAACCACACAGATCCCTTCAAAGCTAACACCCGCCAGCCACCTCTCCTCACACACACAATCCCAGAACACTTCGCCTCCATCGTCTCCGCCCACGGCGACCGCCCCGCCGTCGTCGCCCGCGCCCCAACCGCCCTCTCCTCCGCCTCCACAACGCCCATCACCACGGAGCTGTCCTACTACGACCTCGACGTGCTCTCCAACTCCCTCGCGCACGGCCTGCGCTCCCTCGGCGTGCGCAAGGGCGACCGCCTCGCCGTCTCCCTCGGCAACGGCGCCGAGTTCGCCGCGCTGACGTACGCCGCCTTCAAGCTCGGCGCCGTGCTCGTCCCGCTCAACCCGGGCTTCAACGCGAAGCAGGTGGCCGCCGCGCTAAGGCATCTCGGGGTCGAGGTGCTTGTTATTGGCAAGGTGACGGATCTGCCGTATAAGCCCGGCCGGGGGCGGAGTAATCTGGAGTTACTGAGGGCGCTGGTGCCGGATTTGGAGAAGGGGAGCGTCGAGAGCGAGGCGGTCCCGAGCTTGAAGAGGGTCGTGGCGGTGGATAATCTCGCATTCCACCCGCAGGTCGAGTTCGGGAGGTATAGGGCGCTAACGCGGTACGAGGAGCTGCTCGCCGGCGGGCGGGGGACGGTCGTGCCGGATGAAAAGCTGCGCGCCGACGAGACGATTAATATACAGTTCACGAGCGGGACGACCTCGCAGGCGAAGGCGGCGATGCTGACGCACACGTCGGTGCTGAACAACGGGCACCTGATCGCGCGGCGGATGGGGCTCGTGCCGGGGGACAGGATCGTCGTGCCGCCGCCGCTGTTCCACTGCTTCGGGTGCGTGCTGGGGTACATGGCGACGGCGACGACGGGGGCGGGGATATTGTTCCCGAGCCCGGCGTTCGATCCGGCGGCGACGGTGAGGATGGTCGCGGAGTATGATGCCACGGGGCTGTATGGCGTGTCGACGATGTTCGTGGCGGTGCTGGAGGCGCTGGCGAGCGGGGCGGGCGGCGTGCGGCAGGGGGAGATGCCGCGGGGCTTGAGAAAGGGGATCGCGGCGGGGAGTAGTGTGCCGGAGAGCCTGATGCGCCGGCTATATGAGACGGTGGGGCTGGAGGAGCTGGTGATTTGTTACGGGATGACGGAGACCAGTCCGGTGAGCTGTATGACGGCGCCCGGGGACCCGTTTGAGAAGCGGACGGGGAGCGTGGGGCGGGTGATGCCGCATACGAAGGTGAAGATTGTGGACCCCGGCGATAGGGGGAGGGTGGTGGCGCGCGGGGAGAGGGGGGAGCTGGCGGCGGCGGGGTATCTTGTGATGAAGGGGTATTGGGGCGATGAGGAGAAGACGGCGGAGGTGAGGGTGGAGGAAGAGGAGGGGACGGTGTGGATGTACTCTGGCGACGAGGCCGTGATGGACGAGGAGGGGTATGTTGAGATCACGGGGCGGATTAAGGATTTGATTATTCGGGGCGGGGAGAATATACACCCGCTCGAGGTGGAGAATTGTCTGTTCCAGATGGAGGGGGTGAAGGAGGTTTTTGTGGTGGGCGTGCCGGATGAGAGGCTTGGTGAGAGCGTTGGCGCGTTTGTGGTTGTGAAGAAGGGGTGGAAGGGGGAGGGAGAGGATGGAGAGGGGGAGGTGCTGACGAGGGACGCGGTGAGGGCGTGGGTGAGGGAGCACCTTTCGAGTCACCTTGTGCCGAAGCATGTGTTTTGGATCGATGAGTATCCCAAGACGCCGAGTGGGAAGATTCAGAAGTTCAAGTTGAGGGATATGGCCAAGGAGATTTTGGGGGAGAAGAAGGATTAGGGGCAGAGGGGAGGTGTGGGGTGGTTGGAAATAGCATTGTTAAGGAGTATTGGGTGTGTTTTCTATGATGACAGTAAATGAATTATTTAAGGAATGACGTATCTACCTTGTTGTCCTTTTACGCTGCCACGAGAGTCCGGAGAGAGTTCAAAGTCCGCGAAGCAAAAGTCTCTAGGAACGCAACAAGACTCATAACGCCACGCATTCTTCCATCCCATGCTCAAAGTCCCAGTTCAAAATCGCCAAAACTCGCCATCCAGAAGCTGATCATCCATCCAGTCTGCGCCCTCCTGCTGTTGTCCCATACCATTAGGGCCGCCCACAGAAGAATCAAGATCATACTGGAGGCCAGACGAAGGTACGAATGGCTCGAAGATGTCCCCAGCCGTTGACGTAGAGAGTCCACCATGGGTGCCCTCAGTCATCGCTGTGAGAGTGGGGACCTCCAAAGGAGCCTCGAGACCGTAACCATCAGCTGTCTGAGATTGCGGGGCAGAGCCGGAATCGGAAGATTGGCAGCTGGTGATCTCCGGATCATCCATCCTCATAGGCGAGTTGGCGTCTTGTTGTCGGTATAATTGAAAAGCGTCTGCTTGGGCGTTTTCGATGATCTCAATCACCTGTCGACGTACTTGGTTCTCGAGTGCACGAGGAATCTTTAAGTTCTTCTGCTCAAGACGTCTCCTCACCGCAAGCCTGAGGTAGCTCTCCATCTGGTCTAAGTCTCTGCGCCGACGTTTGTCCAACTCTGCGATATCATTGTCATAGCCTATGTACGATCGTCAGTCGACACTCATATCTTTGTGGGGTTTGAAGGAATGAAACCTACGTGGGCTAGGGATGAGCTCCTCTGGCACAAGGGGAAACAAAATCCGATATATCTCTTTCCACTGCTTATCTGCAGGACCCCGGCGTCTTTTTCTCAAAGCCTTTTCCTGCTCTCTGTTGAATCCCATGGGGTGGGAGTTGGAAATGTCCAGCGAGCAAGGGGTAGGCAGCTTGAGATGCTTGTTGAGTTCCGTCTCAGTGATGAACAGTGTGGAGCATCGTCCACAGTGGATGGGGAGCGCATGTCGACGAAGGACGTGTTCTCTGATGTTTTACAGTGTCAGACATCCATAAGTGAAATGAGATATAAACGAGAGAAGAGAAGAAAAGGAAGAGGGCTCAAAAATTGCAACAGCAACGAAAAAGTGTGCTCACTTGACACGATGGACGGTTGGCCAGCCTGGTCCTGCACAAGACCGGTATTTATGGTATTTTGCAGGACAATGACGATAAAAAGGACATGCAAGCCCTTCGTTGGAATGCGAACCAGCTGCAGGTGCGATCGGGCGGCGTTTGCCTTGTGGTACATTCGGATCGTCTCTGTTATCCACCGCTTGGGGTATGCTTGTGGCTGCTTGGCTGTCGACCATGGGGTTGATCCAATCAGAAGACAGCATTTTGCGTCACTAGCTCGATTGAGTAGGTGGTAATTACCTGAACTATTTGTTAGAAAGCTTTTCGAAGAAGAATGAGAAACAAAAAATGAATTCAGGCGAGAAAACGAACACTGGATATGCCCTTAATTATTCGTAGCTCTAACACATAATGAACGTGTGAGAAGATGTTATACTGAGAAGTTTTTAATATTGAGATAGAAGACAAGGCGTTGGTTGTTTGCGTGCGGGGCAGGGAAAGGGGTTGTCTCGATTCCTAAGGTAGGGACAGAGGTATCGACTATCTTTAACTTTGTTCCTCTAAATGGCGGACGCATTCGCAAAAGAACATCAGGGAAAGTAGGCAAGAAGGTCAGGCAAGAATGGAATACCCGACTTGGATGTTTTGGGGAGTGGTGCCTTGGTTCGCCAATGTTAGCGTTGGTTGCCTTGAATGTGCCATCGCCAATCAAACGTCGCTCTTCCTCTCTCGATCTTTCGGGGGTCATCAACAGGCCCATCTCCGAGAGCCCCATGATTGATGTGGTCCTCAGTGAATCCCCTCCCCCATCGCCTACACTTCTCAGCTCGACACCTCGATGCTCGATGCGTGTGCAATGCGTGCAGAATAAGCTTAAGTGTATCGCATTGCCTGATCAAGGGCTATCGATTGATGTATTCTTTTGCACGTTGGGCACCTACCTACTGAGACATTGATGTGTGCAGTTTGAACACATTGTAGACATTGGCACACTACGGTATCCTATTCTCATCAACCCCGGATTGTATCTTTTTCTGCCACAAGGAAAAAAGTAAAAAGTTCTGCTGATTATAGCAATCTCGCACGCCTTTTACCAGCAGTCCACCGGCACTGCATCTGCGTACAGTTCCTCTGGGAGGTGAGCGATATGGGTTGGCTCGCTCGGGGCTTTGCTGTGGAGGTTTCAGGATGGGCAACCGCCCAGTGCGCTGCGCGGGTTGCAGGTACTCAGTGCAGCACGTATGGATACTGGTGGTGGAAATGCAAAGCCGGGCGGCTTTGCGTTCTCATCCAGGCAGCTGAGGCGGGTTGGCGGGAAGGATGCGGCAGCGTCTCCAGTCTTTTGCTTTACCTAGGTAGGTAGTAAGTAATTCGACCTTTGTCATCGGAAGCACTATGTAGGTACGTAGCCGACCATGAATACTTAACACCTAGAGGGACCTTCAATCCTATCAAATGCCACATGACACCAGAGAGTCCTACCTACAACACGCTCCGATTTTACCCCAATTCTGGAGTCTATAAAGTTTCTCATTGGTCTAAAAACTTCCTCAGCGTCGCTCGGTGTGTACTAATTAGCTCTATTCCGCACAAGGGGTCTGTGGCGTCCTTGGCATTTGATGGAATAGGAAATCCAAGTTCGCGAGCTGTTCTCATTGCGTGCGATGAACGGAGCTAGGCTTCAAACCCCGTCGAGCTTTAGACTATTTCATCTGAAGTAATTCCCTAAATTTTATGTTGTAATGCTAAGCGTTGGCCGGGTTGTAAGTGAGGTGGTCATGCAGAAAAAAGCAGAGCAACAGAAGCTTTAATTATTTATGCCAAGCTGGCCAGAGCCGTGGGCTGAATTGCGCGAACGCGCTCCTTTTTCTTTTCTTACTTCAATCCCAAATCCGGCTGCGCCGACACAGTGTTTCTACGTGTGTTCAAATACAGGAGATAGCGATGCCGCTGCGCTATCAGCAACGTACCATGCAGCCCCTGAATGTTTGTAAGCTCGTTGCTTCAGCCCCACAAGTACATATGAGAGACTGGGGGTTCACGACGAATTGAATTCCGCTCTACTTGACTTCATGAGTTTCATTGCTTTTTGCGGCTGGTGAGCAGGGTAACAGACTTTCGGCTGCATCATTGTGTGTGGTAATGTCTTGAACCCTTGGCATCACTGGCCAGCCCCTGGCAACCACTTTACGCGAAATACGACGCGAAACGCGCCGCCGCGCGAGCGTTGCAAGCCCTCGAGCGAGGGACATGATCTTTATAAGTGTGATGCCCGCGACCTGGGACTCTTTATCTGCTGCTCATTCCATCTCATTTCGAATACACCAGCCAACATCTTGGAAGGCGCCACAATGTTTTTCTCAAGTTTATGCCCTGGCAGCGTCACGACCAACTTGAAACCTCCATTCCCGCGACCCGAGATCGTGGAATCGACTAAGGACAAGACGAAAACCTCGATTTCACCCAGAGACAACGACAACGACGACGATGACGACGACAGAAAGAAGCAGAAGAAGAAGAATAAGAAGAGGAAAAATAAGAATAACAAGACCAGCGAAAGCGAGCCTTCACCTCTCAGTCGCCTAGTATGGAGAAAGCTTCCCGCAGAAATCCGACGGATGATTCTGGACGACCTCATCAATGATCCCTCAAACAAGCCGGCGTTGTCGTCCTGGGCAAGTGTGTGTGCAGACTGGCAGGTCCTCATTGAGGAACACACATTCAAGTCTCTCCACCTCAAATGGGATGATTCTCGTACGGATTCTGAGCTTCCGACATTCGAAGCCATTGTCACCGGCCATCGGCGGACACTGCTCAAGAACGTCACCCTCGAGATCATGCTCGGTAAATACAGTTGTTTGGTATGCGGCCGACCGGAGTCGGACCTGGAAATCGACAACAACAATCTCCGCTTCACAATCGCCCTACAGCAACTCTTTTTGGCCCTCAAAGACTGGAACGACGACATCTCATGTTACTACAGGCTCAGCCTGGAGATACGAGCCGGCTCCCAAAGCGACTTTTATCACTCCTTTCCGGACGTCGAACACGATGCTCACTACTTGCGCAACGACCACATCCAACAAGCTGCAGGGATGATGACAACTGTGATGACGAACCCGGCCGCAGCTATGTACTTGTTCGAAAATCCGAATGGCGAGAAAGAACGCGTCATTGGCAATCTCCTGCATTTCAAGAACATCGACTTGAAACTGCCCACGCTCCCATTCATTCATCAGCTTGTGGTGAATCGAAGCACAACGCGAAGCTTCACAGCAAAGACCATCAAGAAGCTCCTGAAGCACTTGACAGGTCTCGAACGCGTTGTCTACGAGCCCATGCAAGCTGTCGGCAAAGACGTCAAGCAGCGCCAAAAAGCCAACAAAGCTCTACTCCGGAAACTGCCATCCTCTATAGAGTCGTTCTCTCTGTACGAAGCACACTCAGAGTACCTAGAGATGCAGAAAATGGGCGTGTCAACTCCCCCAGAGGTGCGGACTGGCAAAAAGGTCGTGGCAGCCGCTGTGGCAGCCAGCTTGCGTTGCCGCAACCTCCAAGAACTTTCCCTGTCTAACGCAGTTGACGCCGAAGACTTCTTTGCACGGGCTTTGGAAGATCCCGCAGTGAAAGACGCTTTGGGGGATGCGCCCTGGCCGAACCTGAGGCGCGTGGCTCTGTCAACCCGATATGAGAGACGGGGGGATTCCAAAGTGTCACCCTATCAGCTGCTCCGCGACGCTGCAAGTGTAGCCCTACGCATGCCAAAGCTGGAGACTATGGAGATCTGGGCTGAATCTGAGTTGAGACGATTCTTGTTCCGGTACAATGTCGAGGGCGACCAGGTGGTCATCAGGGTAGAGATTGACTCGGGATATTATCAAGATGAAGTCTACCTCCCTTGCGCCAATCTTGTAAAGGCAGTCGACAAGACTCTGAAGATGTGGCGAAAGGTAGCAGGCCCGCGTCGTCAGCTTTCGCATACAGTGGAAATGGTTGAAGGCCAGGCCGCGTACTGGGACGACAGCGACGATGAAGACGCTATTTATGACGATGAAGATCAGAAGACGTGGCCGCCAGCACCGTCTGTCTGCGATAGCCTTCGGCTAAATGGCTTGGTACGGGATGCCAGTGCGAAGCGGCGTTTTGTATTCAAAGACTGGTATTGATGGGCATGTTGTCATTGAGACCAGGCGAGATGCGTTGTATTCATTACTGTGGCGTTTGGTGCAGCACGTTCATGTATCACTATCTGTACAACAATTACAGAAACCATTTCTTTGACTGAAAAATACCTTACCCTTACCTCCAAGTATCACATTCCATGCACCATTGAAGTTGATTACGTTCAACTAAGAGACTTAACTACTCCATATCACTGTGGTGCACTATGCTAGTCTCATTTACTGTTCCTCACTCGGCGAACCCCTGAACAACAATGGGCAATATTGACATTGAGTCTTGCTATCCGGGCGTATAACTCACATACTAGGTCTAATTGTTTATCTTATATTAGCAAGTTTCTGTACCTATCGTACCTCTCGTCCCTGTTCCTATTATCGTCGCTATCATGTTTGTTTATTGCCCTTGGTATCGTTGATGCCTACTTCCCGCCTGGATAGCAAAATCTTGATTTTATCAGGTGTCAATATTTGTACCTACCTTACTGCTTGATTTTGTATCCAATATTCAACTTCTGACCAAACCATGAGGGACTGTGCTAATGTAAACCAGAACTAAGGCAACTTGTCGCTAGGAAGGATCGTTGCCTCGTTTTTCAGGGCGACGTATGTCTTCTCCAGCTCAAAGACGTGAGCAAGAACAGCGAGGGCGTTATGCAGATTTTGCACACCGGCGACGATGGATCCATGAAGACCTGAACAGATCAGGCACCAGCACAATGTAACAACAAAATGGTACGGTAGTTGAAGTTGTGATCTACCTGTGAAAGCCATCAAGAATATTTCAGATGCGTACCTGAGTTGTCGGCTGAGGGCTGGATGTCTGGCGTGCCGTTGTGGTCATTGCTCTACGTTGACCATGGATCAGACAAGCCACTGGCCCAGTCGATGGAAGCAAGATTCCCAAGACTCATTGGACCAGCCAGTGCGGGGGACCAAGTGTCTGGCTTGTACATTATTAGATTCTGACTGCAAGATTCGAAAAGGAAAGGGAAATGTCTTGCCTGCTGGTATGAGCTCTTCGGTAAGAGGGTCTTCGGCAACAGGTATGCCGTAGGCAACTGCGTCAAGAGTGAGAGCGGTAACGAGGTTCGGTGTCTTCATTTTCGTAATGAGCGAACAGTGGTCTGGCGATGATTGTAATAACTAATGAATGATGAATATTTCGATGGGATGTCGAAAGTTTCAATTCCTAAGAGGGTCCAAGTCAGGGAAGACTTTTGACTCGACTGATGATCTCCAATCTTCGTCTTCCCCGTGAAAGGAATCTGGATCTGTAGCTAGCCCTCTTACTTAGGATGTGTCACTGGGGCATGGATCTGTCAACATACTATAGTCGTGAAGATACAAATCCACCAGCGTTTTCCAGAGGAGTCCTCCAAGTCCAATAAATCACCGAGATCGTTACACTTCTATCTTTTTAGGATACTCCGCAAATCATGAAGTTTTTCGGTCCTTTTGTCTCGCTGCCTTGTAGTAGCTCTAATAGTTTTTCTCTCTCAGACTTGAATGACCTAACAATTGTTCTTGCACATTAGCGCGGCAACCGCCAATGCCTACATGTGCAACTGCTTGAACGTCAACAGACCTGACTTCGTTGCAGCCGTCCACATTTTCAAGGCTTTCGGAGGCGTAATTTGTAGCGACAAGCCGCGGAACATCAACGGTGTAAGTTTCCACGGCGCTCTGAGCGATCTGGTTTCGACCAACAGGCATACCCATTGAACATGAGTGTATCATGAGCTATACCACCACTGATGCCGACTGTGCAAGACTCCTTTTCAAGACTGAGGACGGTGAGGAGGTCCCAGATACTACTTTAAAGGCGAATTGCGAGCACTACACTGACTTGTCTTCTAATTTGGATGGTCAAGGACAGAGGCTCAGAGGTACATATGCTAGGAGAATTGGTTGAGTTGTACATTTGAAATGTAGCCAAGATCTTATGTCAACATCTTCAATGGATCTCTGCTGGTTATGGAAATACTCGAAGTTAAATAGATGGACTGCTAAGTACAACATTTCAATGTTCCTGGTCCATGTCATCTTATGCATTATACCACCTGTGTCACTATGTTGCATCAGCTGTCTCCGTTGTCTCTTTGGTCTTCACCCTGCGTATTTTCAATTGGGGGTATTCAACTAGATGTCTGATCTTTGCGAAGAGAGCGTGAGCCCTTCTACAAGAAAGATTTGTCTTCCCGAACAGCCTCCGTCGTCAAGCTGTGGAAACGAATTATTTCCACCCGGGATGGTCCGTTAGAGCATGCACTGTCTTTTGGGACAGATCTTAGACAATGAGATAAAGAAAACTGCGCTCTCTTGATCTTTATTGAAAACATAACCTGCAACCCAACTTGTGCTGTGCGACTAACCGCGAAACTCTTCCCGTCCTTAACCATTGGACGCTCCGCCATCGCGACTAGCTGTCTCCAGCGATTCCCAACGTCGCATCTCCACCAGGAACTCATGAGTCACTTGATAAATAGACCTTTTTTTTTTTTTTTTTTTTTTTTTTTTTAATTCAATCCTTTGGAATGATGATGTTTGCTCACCAAAAATTGTCTTAATCTCTGGATTGCAGATATCCTCTCTGAGACCGGAATTTAAGTTCGTAACGCAGTCCAACCGTTGAAGCGCAAGCTCCAAGTTCTCACCGAATTCTCACTTAACAGCGTCCGTCCGCTTTGCCTCGGTCGTATACCAAAAGACTATACTAAGTCCCCACCCCTTGCAACAGAACCCCCCCACAACGGAGATGCGATTTCGCATGCTTTTTGCAGCCCTAATTTATAATTATATATTGTTATAAATAGCGATTTCTCTATGAATCCGTAACTTTAATATATAATTTTATACTCTTATTATTATTTAATGATTTGCTATTAATTAATACTATTTCTAACTTAATTAGATAATTCTAAACCTCTTATTTCTTTATATAAATCTATTTAACTATTATAAACTGCTTATTTAGGTTTAGCTTAACTTTTGTATATAGTTTTAGTTTATATTTTTTAACTTATACTTTAAGGTACTTAATAATCTTATAGTTATTCGCTATAGCTATATTATTAAGATTTAATTATTTACTAATCTTCTCTAAAAATAGGATATAGATAATAAGGTTAACTTTCTTTAGCTTAGACTTTATCCCCTTATAAAAAAGCTATTAATATAATACTAGATTAATAGAGGACTTTAATATTTTTATTATATAGTTTTTAAAAATAATCTTACTCTCTATAAACTTCTTATATTATACTAAGGTTTATAGAATATCTATAAGGGTAGGTATATAGAAGAACTAACTTATTATTAACTTAGCGATATTTACTAGCTATATACTTATTACTTTCTACCTAACTTTAATAATCTAAGGCTATAAAGTGTCTTTTTAGGTATAAGAGTAGTAATATAGAAAGTTCTACTTTCTAATTAGTATAGAGTTAAGAGTATAGTTATATATTTTAAGGTACTATTAGTAGACCTTTTTTAGAAGTGAGAATATAGATATATTAAGTAGCTAAGTAAAATATAATAAATAAGTAAGTAGGTATATAAAGTAGATATTATTTATATAGTACTTTTATATAAAGTTATCTAAAATGTAGCTTCTATAGCTATTTATAATAAAGAGATGCTTAAATTAATACTTCTTAGCCTTATCTGCTATAAATAGGATAAATACTTTCTCTAGCTACTTAATACCTATAGAATTTAATATCTATTTGTTCTATAATAATATAAAGAACTAAGAAGTAAAGTTATTTAGTTTATTAGGGAACTATTATTATTATATAATCTTCCTTTTAAAGATAATAAGTAGGTTAAGATACTTACTATCTATTAAGATATACTTAATAATAGTTATCTAAATATATTAATCTAAACTAGAGATAAAGATAGAAAGCTTTTTAGAATATCTTAATACTAAATTATCTTTTTATACCTCCTCTATAATTCCTATTTTATCTATATTCTATTAAAGACTTATTAGAATCTTCTTAACCTCTAAGAGGGCTATAATCTTAAAAAACTACTTTATATTATTAATTATTATATTTTTTTAATATATATTAAGCTTCTAAGCCTTTAAGGTCTTTATAATAGGGTTATAGTATAAGAAGCTTTCTATTTACTTCCTCCTAAGGGGTTTAGTATTACCTCTAGCGTAGAGGATATATTTAGTGAAGAGTTAGATATATTAGTAGCTAAGTATAAAGCTAAAGGAGCCCTATATAAGTACTTATAATATAAGGGATAACTCCTACTATGAGGAGAAGTATTACTAACCTTCTTTTACTTCTTATATTAACGTAGCGTTAGTAAAGTGTTAATAGATCGTTATAGATAGCACCTCCTATTTATATGAAGCTTATAGGATAGGCTAACTACTTTATACTACTATAATAGCGTTAGTAAAGTACTAGGAGGTATATAAGGGTATAATAAATACCTCAGTATTTTTAAAAGAATTTATTTTGATTATTATAGTAGTGAAAAGTTATAGGAAGTAAGGTGTACCTATGTAGTGTAGTATGCAAAAGTCGCGTTTTGACGCGTCTCTGTTGTGGGGGGGTTCCGTTGCAAGGGGTGGGGACTTAAAGCCACCAGCTGGAGCCATAGCTTTAGACATCACAGGGTCAATCTGGTTTCTAGATACTCTGGGATAAAGGTCTTTCATACGCATCGTCTACTAACGAAACATTGTGCAAGTTCATTTTCCCTTTTGGCCGGGATTTGAGCTCGGCACAGTGGTAGAGCCTTTTATACTTACGTCGCAGCGGGAGGGAGCGTGGTCTTCGTCGATGATGCTATGACAGCACATAATCAGCGTTGGCCTGCAGCCTGCAAAGACTGACCAGCTCAAGGACCGACATCCAGCTATAAAGTCACCCTTCAATTTGCTCTTCTCTCGTGTGCGCCGACAAAGATCATCTGGTATTCCAACAGCTCGATAACTTCAAAATACTTAACAACTAGGCCCAGATACATGCACATCAAAGGCAGTTGCAAAGACCCGATCCAACCTACAGTCAGTTAGCAGAACAACAGTCCCGATCTCTGACGTCCGGGTATTCCAACTTGAATTACATGCAGCTAAAGACAATGAGCGACAAAGTCATGGGCTCGAGGCTACAAAACTGAAACCATTTGACAGTGCCTGCAACAAAACAGCTCAGCTAGCATTCGGTTGTGGAGTTAATCGCAACAGCCTAAATCGCTTGCTTTCCTACACTGTCACCATTGCCCTGTTAGTTAACGGGAAGAACCTGGCATACAGACCCGAGAATTTATACCCAGTCTACAGCGCACCAAGCACGCGACCTGGATGCGGACCTATTTCTAACGGCTCATATCTACCTGCGTCGGACTTCAAGAAGATGCCTACCTCGTCACCGCGTGACCATTGTGCAATGTGAAAGTGATGCTGGGTACGCTATTCTCACCATGGCACCATAAACGTTAAACCACACCAGCTATTCAAAGCATACCTACTTCTGAGGACGTTCAATGCAAACAACGAAATTTCACCTATCTCTGATGAAGACTGCGGTCGCAGAAGATAACCCAGCTTTTTATCAAATTAGATTAAGAGTTTTTCTAATCTTATATGAAGATTTTCACTCTAATAAAGACGTGTGTGTAGTTGAACGTTATATAGATAGAATAGTCACTAAATGCCACTGGACGAGAGAAACGCTAAGAGATAGACGAGTTCTCCTGGAGGAAATTCACTAGCGAGATTGCAAAATATGTCAAGCCAGTCCCCGATGTCCCCGAAAGCATCATGGAACCGAATTGCCACGCTGCCCGAACGTACACAACCCCGATTGCTGGGTTGTCGGAACATTAACTCAAGTGAACTCTCCTACATATATATACTTCTTAGAGTACAGCCCGTAAGCCCCCAGCTGCTGAGACTTACAACCGACGCCAACCATACTGAGCAAGACAATCTCATATAAAATCACCTCCTCTCTAGTAGACTGGTCGTCAAAGGCAATATCGAAATGACGGCCCGGACATAGAGTTCGCGATATCTACTAGCTTCACCAACATGCATCCTCAAGCCCGCCACAGGTCTTACAACTCCTCAGCCAAGGCCACTTTCGCCCACATCCCCAAACGTCCAATGAATACTCCCCAAATCATCAACTACCAGCAACGAAACCGGACAGAGACACACACTTCGTGGCATATAGCACCCGTAGATTCCACGGCCAACCCACAAATTGTATGGCAACCGAGATTGGATGCCGTATACTGGCGAAAAGGGTGTAGATGATGATTTTGAGCCCCTGGTATTTGGTCTGGAAAGATTTTCTCATGTCCTCTGAGCAGATTATATGTCAACGAGGGAATGTAAGAAAGCTGCATGTAACTGGGGGCCTGGAGGATGGAGGGAGGTTTGCGAGGCGGCTCAGTTACCAATGCAAGCCAACTTCACCTCACACCCTGACTTCCAGCGCGGTAGGTAGTCGCCAGCTCCGCCGGCGATCACCGGCTTCCGGCACGGAGACTAGGCGTCGGACCCCACACCGGCCCCGCGCACTCATCAACCGCATACACCAAAGTACACATCATCAAACATCACCATTCAAACGCACTCTGTCATGCATCAACTCAAAATACTTTTTTGGTTCATTTCTCAATACGTCCGACTGTGTGAATAGATCCCAATGCGACGGGACGGATCCTCTCCCGGACCTCCCGCGCACACAACTCTTTTTTCCCTTTTTGTCTTGATAAAGCAAACCAAATGTCATCTATGCCTGTGTTGGTGCCCGCCATCCAGGCGTGTGGCACACATGAATTTCTAGCAAATAGTAATGCGGCAGTCGTACCTATCCGGCCCGAGTACGATCGCCTCTGAACTCCTTTCTTCCCACACCAGCTTTGTACATCCGG